CTCTCTCTCTCTCTCTCTCTCTCTCTCTCTCTCTCTCTCTCTGTGTGTGTGTGTGTGTGTGTGTGTGTGTGTGTACACTTGCACTTTGAAATTTCTTTCTTACAGAATAACTATGTGAGATTTAAGGGTTTTGAAACCCTCTGCAAATAAGTACAAACTTCTCCACACTTGCATTTCTTTTGTGAAGAACCAGACACCTTCACTGATAATTTCAGAACAGTAAGTAGTACTGTGGTGGCTATAAAGAGGCCAAGTAACCCCGAGGACCCAGATGGGATCAACTGGGTTTCTGCTCTGTCCTTAGCACTTGGAAGCAGTGTCTGGGCAGGGAGAAGATGTTTAATACATACTTGTTGAATTCATGAATATCTACAAAAATGTCCTTTTCAATTTATTCTTTGAAAATCTCATCTCATCTCTCTCTCTCTCTCTCTCTCTCTCTCTCTCTCTCTCTCTCTCTCTCTGTGTGTGTGTGTGTGTACTGGTGCATGTGTATGTGAAACCCAGAGGAGGGTGATTATCATCTGCCTCCTTATTCCCCTGAGAATCTGATGGCCACTGTCAAGGAGCCCCCAGTACTGAGGTAACAGGCTCATGCAGCCATGCGTGGTTTTTATACGAGTGCTGGGATTTGAACATCGTGCTAGTACAGCGGGGACTCTTACCACTGAGTCATCTCTTCAGCATCTCATAAAGATTTTGGCCAGGGCAAGTGTTCATGAAAGACCTGGAGACAAGGACTTTAGACTATATCCAAACAGAGTTTCCAGTTGTCCCAGAACAGGACTCCTGGGGGGAGATGTCAGGCCAGCCAGAACCACAGAGCACATCAGAACTCTGCCAGAGTTGGTTTTTGTTTTGTTTTTAAGACAAGGTCTCATTTAGCCCAGGCTGTCTACGAACTTGCTATGTAGCTGAGGCTGACCTTGAACTTCTGATCCTCTGAGTGCTGGGATTACAGGTGGGCACCACCACACCAGATTTGTATGGTGCTAGGCATTGAACCTGAGCCTCATATGTGCTAGGCAAGCACTCTAGCATGAGCTCTGACCCCATCTCCAGGCCCAGGCTCTTGAGTGACAGGAACTATGACACAATGTGTGATGACTTATTTATGCTACTAAAATTCAGGGTGATTTGTTATGCAGTAACAGAAAACTACTAACCCCTAAAATCAAACACAATTGTGTCCCAGAAAAGTAGATTAAATTTTACCAGAGTGGCACATGACACCTGTTCTTAAATATTATATTCTCCATGCCTTTTACAACTGTCCTTTCTGAGTTAGGTGACCTCACTTTATTTTTTTTTTAATTTTTTTGAGACAGGGTTTCTCTGTGTAGCTCTGGTTGTCCTGGAACTCACTCTGAAGACCAGGCTGGCCTCAAACTCAGAGATCCACCTGACTCTGCTTCCAGAGTGTTGGGATTAAAAGTGTGGTCCACTACCACCCAGCCTTCTATACTTATATTAAACCCAGCAACTTGAATAATCACCACCACTACCATCCCTAACACCAGGACCACCACCATTACCATCAAAACTGACATAATATATATAAGATACTATTCAAGGGTCATAAATCATTTACTCAACACAGTAAACCTATATAACACAAGAGCTAATATTATCCGTAATTTATAGCTGAAGAAACTGAGGCCCAGGGTAGTTAAGTGGCAGTTTCAAGGAATCTAGCTTGAGTTAGATTCCTGGCAATTACATAACAATTGTGTTTATAGTCCATGGTGTTGTCCAAGTTTCTGGATAGGAAGTTAGTTCAAATCTAGGTAATTGAACATCAGACACCAAATTCTTAGGCGTTAACTCGCTCTACATGCCTTCAGTTTTTATGCAACAAGTTGAACATGCCTTACCAGAGCTTCCTCAGGGTCTAGGATGTTACCTTACCTGTGAATACTAGGCTGGAATTTTCCAGTTCTTCCTGGGGAACTTTGAAGCTGAAGGATTCATTGTAAAAAGGGTCAATTGTGCCTCTCAAGAATGATGTCTTCTTGGTTTTCACAAGCTTGAGTCCATGTACCAGCTGGATTTTTACAAATGGGTCTGAGGATTGGATACAACATTGTAGAATACTGGGGATGAGGAAACATAATCTACCATCTCTTATCCCTTCAACTTTCCAGCCTTCCTCTCACTCTCCCACTCTCCCACCCACCCACCCACCCATCCATCCATCCATCCATTCACTTTTTGCCCATCTCAACCAATTCATCCATTCATCTACACAAGCACTCATCTACTCTTTTGTCCATCTATTTCCCATCTATCCATCAAGTCATTAATACACTCACCATTCACCATTCTTCTATCTACCCATCCATCTGTCCATGCATCCATCCTTCCACCCAAATTATCTATGTAACAGGGTAACCATCTACCCCCCTCCCCATCTCTATATAGTCTGCAGTGCTGGGGATGGAGCCCAGGGCCTCCTGCACACTAGGCAAGGATTCTACTACTGAGCTGTTTTTATTTTTTCTATCTATCTACCCACTGATTCACCTACTCATCTAACCGCTCATCCATTTACTAATCCAGGCATCAATCCACCCCTGCTTTCACTTAATCATTCTCCCATGTATCCGACTGTTCTGTTACCACATCTAGCTTCTTATCTGCTGATTTCCTTTCCTCTTCCTCCACACATCTAGCACTTATTGAACTCCTCCCCATGTTTTAGGCATCATGTTCATTTTATAAATGGGAAAAACCGAAGATTTAAAGATAAGGGATGATTTGCTCAAGGTCTAGCTGGTGGAGGCAGAACCAGGTTGGAGGCAATCCAAAAGCAGAAAGCCATTACAGGCCAATGGGCTCACAGCTCATACACAGGAGAAGAGCAAAGGCAGAATTAGACTTGTCATGCTTTGGTCATTTTATAGTTAGAAAGGGATTTGTGCAGGTGATTGAATTTAAATATTTAAGCAACCCATACTATCATTATACAATTTTTGAGATGAAGGAGTTGAGATATCCAGAGGTTAAGTAACTTCTCAGGGTCACATCTTTGCAAACAGCACAGACGTTTTGCGGCAGGCAATTTGGCTTCCCTCTGCTTCAGCATCCTGCCTCTCCATTATGGTGAGCTGGAACGCGCTAGCCACTGCCGTGTTCCTTCCTCCAGCCATCTTGAAGCCTCTGCTTTACAGTGTGGCTTTTGAGAACTCAGGGTGCAGTCTAGATTCGGCTGTCACCTCATTGCAAACGACTTCCTTTGGCCATTGGATCTGGGGCGGGGGAGCAGCATTTCTACCACTGAGCTGAAGGGAGGGAGCCCAGCGATCACGGCTTCATTTACAATAGCATCCTAGGCTGTCACAAAAGAAGCTACACACAGATGGAATGGAATCTGGGATTTTTGTTAAATGTGTTTGAACCGGTTTCTGCTTGAAAATAAATAGCGCTTTCAGAGCTGAGATTTATAAAGAATTATGGTACACAGGACATGAGCTGAAAAAAAAAAATCCCTCAGGCTGGGCCCACCTTGTGAGCTATCGCCACCTAGAGTATAACATCTGCATTACAGGCATAGGATGTGGGAAAAGCAAGTTACTTCTCAGTGACGAATAAGTTCAAAGAGAAGATGGATTTCAGAAGTTATGGTACCTGGTCACAGGTGTGATAAGGTTCCCATGATGACCTGTTTCATCCTAAGACATAGCTAATCATTTATTTTTTTCTTTTTGAACTAGTATTCTAGTTATAGATGCTGCCCACCCTTATGTTACCTTAAATAGCATCCAGGACACAAAAAACTGGGTCCCTCAAACAACAGAGAACCCCTTAAAGATGTAGAGGATACTAGGATTGTGCCATACCTGAACCCTGGCTCACATCAGTTTGCAGGAGCTGCTTGGCTCGAATGATGTCCACATTCAGTCTCCCAGCACTTGGGAGATAGTTTAGAGACAGAAGCAGCTCGCCCAGCTCCACTTCATTCTGCAGGAAAGAAAATCGCCAGAAGGTTGCTTCATTAGTTTCTTCCCTTTGGTGTCCCCTATACAGGAGGCTGACTCCCAAAACTCATAACCGAGTGGTTGACGGTGGGTCAATCAACAGTGGGTGCTTCTTTCTTGTGCTTTTTCTTGTGCATGGGTATGTATGCATGTGTGCACATATATGGGTTTGCATAGAAGTCAGAGGACAGATAAACCTGGGCATCATCCTTTCAATGCCATCCACCTCCTTTGAGACAGGATCTCTTATTGGTCTGGAGCTCATCAACTACGCTAGATTGGCTGTCTGAGCCTCCGGGATCCTCCTGTCTCTGCCTCCCCAATGTTGAGATTACAAGCATGTGCTGGCATGCCCAGCATTTTTATGGGGATTCTGAGGATTGAACTTGGATCATCAGGAATACAAGTGTTTTACCGACTAAGCCATGTTGATTTCTTTTAGTTTTTGCATCCAATTATTTTCTTGTTTATCTCAGAAAGTGTTTTCTGCTCTTAGGAAGTTTAACAACAGCAACAGAAGTGATGGCCAAGTGCTGTGCTAAGTGCTTTGGATGTAACACCCAACTGAGTCTTCATGACGAGTCCAAGAGGCAACACTACGTACTTCATTTAGTAGATGGTGAAAATGAGACTCAGTCCAAAGTCACACAACTGGAAAGAAGTAGTTTAGATAGAGAAATGATCGCAGACTCTTGAACCAGCAGAGTGCTACCTGGAAAAGGTACCACTCTTAACCCATAACTAACTACAGAGCCCATCCCTTACCATGCTCAGCACACTCCTCCTACCAAAGAGTACCCCTTCCCTCTATGTTGGGCTATCACACTTAGGATAAATCCATGCTGCTTAGAAAATGAGAGCCTCAATTTCATGTATCTGTTTAAGAAATTGTTAAAAAAAAAAAAGTCAGCTGCTTCAGAGTAGTGAATCATTCTCCATTACCCACTCCCCAACTGTATTAATTATAAACTTTTGACAAATGGTGTTTTATCTATACTCACCTCTGTTTATAAAAAAATTAGCTAAAGGTTTTAAACTAAGTCCCAAGTAGGATGTAATTTTATCTGTTTATCCCCACACAGGCATCTCTAGGTGATCAGGATATTAAAATAAGCATTCTTAGTACGGTTAACATCCAGGTATATGAGAAGTCAAAAAAATGACCAAGGAACCTCAATATATGCCATCTCTCAGATTCAAGGATTACCTCATGGTCAATCTAAATTTCTACATCTTCATTCAACCCCATATATGATTCTGAAGTAGCCCCTAGACATACACCATTTTATTAATAATATTTCAGAATGTATCTCTAAAGATGTTTCATCTATTCCCCATCCATCCATCTACCTACTTATGTATGCATGCATGCATCTATCTTCCCACTCATCCATCTACTTATTCATGCATTCATCCTCCACCCATCCATCTACTTACTTATGCATACATGCATGCATCCATCCTCCACTCATCCATCTACCTACTTATACATACATGCATGTATCCATCCTCCCACTCATCCATCCACTTACTAATGCATACATGCATGCATGCATCCATTCACCACCCATCCATCTACTTACTTATGCATACATGCATGCATCCATTCACATTCTCTACCCCTTTCAGCAAACTGATGGCAAGTGGCAATTCTAAAACAATGTTTATCACAAAAAGATTCCTATATGGTCTGGGCATGGTGGCACATGCCTTTAATCACAGCACTTGAGAGGCACTTGGAAGGCAAATCTTGATGAATTTGAGGCCAAGCTGGTCTACAAGGAAGTTCTAGGCCAGCCAGGGCTACAGAGTGAAACCCTGTCTCAAACACAAAACAAGACCAGATTCCTATTTGGATCAAGTTAACCTATAAACAAGAAACAACCTCACACTTAGCTACAGATTTCAAACTTGCAACCCATGGGCGTATTTTATTTGTCTCACGTCACATTCAGACAGACAGTTACTAATTATTATGTACTTTTTTTTTTTTTTTCGAGACAGGGTTTCTCTGTGTAGCTTTGCGCCTTTCCTGGAACTCACTTGGTAGCCCAGGCTGGCCTTGAACTCACAGAGATCCGCCTGGCTCTGCCTCCCGAGTGCTGGGATTAAAGGCGTGCGCCACCACCGCCCTATTATGTACTTTTAAAGACCAAGTATTTCATATTAAAAAATAGAATTTCTTGCTTTGCTTGATGAACAGGAAGGTCTGCTAGTGCTGGGCCCACGTTCCCATTTGGTGACCGACAGAGTCTTTGCTGGATAGACTATAGTGGTGGGCCCCTCTGTGTACCTATTTGTGGAAAACCAGTTCTACAAAAGGGCCTGCTCACTTCACTCACCAAGAGCCCCCCTGCCCTGTTACTTTTTTCATCATATTTTATTTGTTTGCCTAGTAGTTTTGGGGGTACCCTTACCACTGAGCCTTCTTGCCAGTACCAAACCCCTGCCGTCAATATCTGAGTTCTCAAATCTCAAGTCTTCCTCTTCCACCGTTCCCAGTCGCCTGGCCAGTCTTCAGCAAGGCTGATTAGACAGAATCCTTCTTCCCTTGGAGGCAACCCTCATTAATATTCCACCACTGTCCTGGGTGAGGACTGAGCCCAAGCTCTGCCCCTCTACAGAATCTCACTGCTGTGCTCCTGATGCCATCAGGGCGGTCCTGACTAAAGCCTGACTGCCTGTGCTTTAAAGTGTCATCTGGAAAGCATCGGCTGCACCAGCATGTGGACATGCTTTGGGCCCCCAGCACCCACATGAAATCTGGGTGGGGTGGCACATGGTTACTCCAGTGATGGGGGTTGGGAAAGCACAGAGACAGGAGACTCCCTGGAGCTCACTGGCAGACAGGTCACCCTAGCTGAACTGGTGAGTTCTATGTTCAGTGAGAGCTTCTGTCTAAAAAATAAGGTTGAGAGTGAATGAGAAAAATATTTGGCATATACCCACACAAAACATATACACATCCACACAAACACATATACATAAATACACAGAAAACATGTACACACACACCTACACAAATATGTACGCATACAAACATCTATATCCACAAACATGTCCATACTCTTCACACATGTACACACCCACACACACATGCACACACCCACAAATATATATACACAAACATGTACGTACCCACATACACACAAATATGTGTATATACAAACATGCATACCACAAACATGTACACATCCACATACCTACACAAATGTACACACCCACAAACATGCATACCACACATACACACAAATATGTACACATACACACGTGTACCCATAAACATGTACACATACGTACACACCTAAAACCATGTACACAAGGCACACACACAAATACATGAAGACACATGCACACAAACATGCACACAGCCATATACACACAAATATGTATACATACAAACATGGATACCCACAAACATGTGCATGCCCACACAAGTATGTACACACACACAAGCATGTACACACCTACAAACAAGTGCATACCCACACAAACATGCACACCCACAAATATGTGCATGTGTACACACACACACACACACACACACACACACACACACACACACAGAGTATCTCTGAGGGGCTGAAAACGTAGTTCAGTGGTAGAGCATTTGCCTAGCAAGTGTAAGGGTTCCACCTCAGGACAGAAAAAAAAGTGTCATTGGGTATTTTTTCCTTAACACCATCCACTACCTGCTTGGTGAGACCTGCTCTTGTCATTATGTCCCCTGGTTACCTTTGTCTTTTCAGGTTTCTTCTGCCCTGGCTTGGAGGGTCAGATTTTCAAGGCAGGAAAGCTGAACTAGGTACCCTGGGACATAAGAAAAGCCCAGGGCCCTTGACATGGTTGCATGTGGCCTCCTGCTGGTCCTCAGGGACCTGGAGGGTGCAGCATCCTTAGCATCTGACCCCGCAGGTGCATCTGTTTTCCAGTGAGTAAGACTGGCTGAGACCCCACAGGAGCTCAGGCCAGGGGAAGCCATCCTGGTCTCCAGGAACTTTCCTCTTGCCAGGTTTATAATCCAAAACAACACCTCCCTCACTCCTTCTAAGATCTACAAGCTTCTCAACTCCTGATGCCTTCCTTCTGGGTGGAACTGGGGTTGGGAGGGATTAATAGCTCAGTCACTCAAGCTGCCTAAACATGAAAGAATAAACTTGGTGTGTTTAAAGAATAAAATGAAGGGTAAGATGGCTGGGGGCGGGACATAGCTGGATTCTAGAGACATCCATGGGCCATGGCAAGCTGCTCAGTGGCTGTCCTCATGGGAGTCTGCCCAGCCTTGGACATTCTCAAAGGAAGTGGGAGGGGACAGGACACCATTGCCTGAACCTCGGTACCCAGGGACCTCTTGAGCCCTTCCTGACACCCTCAAGAGCAGAAAGGCCTGCTGTTTCCTTCATCTAGGCTGCCAAATGGACCCTCTGAGGCAGCTTCCTGGACTCATCCCCTTTCTAGTCGTTTCTTGCCTTAAGTGGGCTTCTTGCTTGTGCGGGCTTGAGGCTTACTGTTCCCTCTTCTTCCCAGGCCCACCCCACACCAGATCCACAGCGTCCACTCCCAGCCTCCCGGGGAAATATGCGCATTGATCCAGCTGCTCTCCTGCTTGCTCATCAGGGAGTGATCAATGTGCAGCCGGGGGATGGTTAGTGGGAACTAAAGAGAAGGCTAACTGAACAGAGCGCTTGATGATTCATTTGACAAGCTTCTTTCAATAGTTCCTGGATCCTCAGCCCAGGGGGTGTCACGGTCATGACCACTACAGGCAGCTGTCAGTAAGACATCAACATAGGCTCAGTCCCTTGTGTGGCTGCTATTCCGTCCTTCCAGCCACACCAGAGGCTCCCACTTTACAAATGAAAGAATCCATCCAAACCATGTGGTGCAGATCACGAATGACATGGGGAGGGTGCAGGCTCAGCTCCTGTCTTTAATCTTGCACGACCTTCTTGACAGTGAAGGGGCAATCACAGACATGCAGCA